GGATGTGTCACGTGTCAGTTTCCGCCGCTATTCCATTGTGATTTGCATGACAATGACATGTCGCGCAAGAAACGTGATGCATTTCGCTGCACAGGCGCAGCGTTTTGTGCGCAGTTCCATTGGGATTAGCGTTTGGAGAGTCGTGTTTTTGGGGTGTTGGATGTGGCCGTGCCATGGGGATTTGCGTTTCAGGTTGTGGCATCGAAGCTTGGTTTTCATGACAAGTCTCAGCTGAAATGGCGACTTTGGTGGATGGGAGTGTGCTCAGAACGGGTCGAAATCATTCCAAACGTGTGGTGTGGTGCAAATTTTGTTGAAGCGCACATGAGATGATATTGTCACTTTTCGTGGCAGGGGCAGGACTTTGTGCGGGTTTTGAGGCGTGGAAGTGCGATTCTCGTGGCAGGTGCAGGGAATCGTGAGGTTGAGAGGTGTGACGGAGGTGACATTTCGTGGCAGGCGCAGTACTTTGTGCGCGTTAGTGTGGAAGCGGAAAGATTCGTGGCAGGCGCAGGGAATCGTGAGGTTGTGAGTTGCGGTAGAGGTGAATGTCGCTGTCACATTGGGATTGGCGTGTGAGCGGATGTTGTTTGGAGGGGCTGGAATCGCGAAACTGCATGGCAGGGCTGCGTGATGTGTGTGCTCCGATGGGTGTTTCCGCTTGACTTTTGGAGGTATTCTTGTACGAAACGCTCGTTTTGCAGACTTTGACGTGTGAGTTTTTGAGGAAGTCTCGTACGAAAGGCTCGTTTTGGAGACATGACGTGTGACTTTTTGAGGAAGTCTCGTACGAAGCGCTCGTTTTGGAGACTTGACGTGTGACTTTTGGAGGAAGTCTCGTACGAACTGCTCGTTTTGGATGTACAAAGCAGGCCGGACATCATGCCATTTCTTGCGCAACAACCTCCTTTCATTATGTGCAACATTTCCCTGCTCATCCCTGCTCCATCCATGGGATTGCCTAGTCAATGTTATTGCGTTTGCCCTGAGGCTGCCACGTCGCCGATGGCGCTCTCGCAGCAACCACATGTGTCACAAAAAGATTGTTTTTGCAGTGGTCTCGCGATGGGTTGTACGTGTGATTCATTCGGGTTCGTGGCTTCAACCTTGTTCTTCACCAACTGGTCTTAAGTCGACACCTTCGGTGGGTGCCGACTGGGCAGTGGCAGTGCTTGGGACCTGGGGTGTTTTTTTCCCGATTGGCCCCGCGGGCTCAGGTGGCTGGCGGGCTGAAGGGTGGACCTTGGGGTGAGGCGGATGTAACCGTGAGGTCTGCTGCTTTACTGGCAGGTGCAGTACTCACAGTGAACCGCGAAGAGTAGCTCTTTCGTCGCAGGTGCAGCTCTTTGTGGATGTGAGTAGTTGAATCACGGGGTCGGTCTCATGCTCTGGTTTGTTTGTTTGCTCTTGTATACATTGTACATATGCTGTCCAACATGTGCCTCTCTCTCTCTCTCTCTGTGTACACCTTGGCCATCCATGTACTGTTTGTGCACGGTCCAATGAAGCGGCCACACATGCGGAGACGGCGCCCGCTTACTCCAACGAGTCCTCAAAGGCTGTTTCCGTTACACACGTACTGTCACACCGCTGTCACACATGTGTGCTGTCACACTTTGCTCTCAATGTGTGCTCTCATGATGTATGTCCTTTGATGTCTGCCCTCAATGTGTGCCGCCGCCGCAAGCGCTCCCGTATGTATGCTGCGCGCAGTGCTGAGATGAGATGTGTACACAAACATATGGTTGCTCAGCACTGCGGTGGGCTTCTATATGTGCGTTTTTACCTTCGGTGCTTCTTGACGTGTGCTCACACAGGTGTGAATGGTGTACATTGTTACATGTGTGCCTCGTACCGCCGGTTGCACTGTTTGGGGCCGCTTGCCGGTAAACATTTTCCAAGGAAGGGCTGTCAGCTTACAACAACCAGCTGACGGGTCCGATTCCCCCTGAGCTTGGGCAGCTGATGCGCTTACACGAGCTTGGACTCTCCGAAAATCAGCTGACGGGTCGCATTCCGGGCGAACTTGGCCGACTGAAGAACTTGGAAAGCCTCTCGCTGGACCATAACCAACTGACAGGAGAGATCCCACATGAACTGCGTCTACTCAAACGCTTGGAATTGTTGGATCTGTCCCGGAACCAGCTGAGTGGTGCACTTCCCCCCGGAACTGGGTGAGCTCGAACACTTGGATTTGTTTGCAGCCCATGGAAACCAGCTGAGTGGTGCAATTCCTGCCGCGCTCGGCAAGTTGCAGAAACTAAAATACCTTTATTTGAACCAAAACCAATTCACGGGTGAGATTCCACCTGAATTCGGCCAATTCAAAGTGATGGAATCACTGTCCGTTTCCAGGAATCTTTTGACTGGTGAGATTCCCCGCGAACTTGGCCAACTCGAGAACCTGCAGGAACTCTTCCTCTATTCAAACCGCTTCACTACAATCTCAGTCGCATTCAACTCGTCTGCTTTGAGACTCCTTGATGCCAGTCGAAACCATCTCAGAGGTGTTCTTGTGATGCAACTCATGACGCCGAAACTCCAAATATTGGATTTGAGCCACAACAAGTTAGCTGGAGAGATTTCCAGCATTACAGATTATTTTTGTGCATTAAATCCCAGAGGCGGAGTCTTGCAAGAGCTGCGCTTGAATCACAACAAACTCACAGGTCAACTACCGCCGTGCCTCATGAAGTTTGAGAACTTGACTTTTCTAGCTCTCAATGACAATCGTTTCACTGGAACTTTGCCCGAAATTGAAGCATTAGAGCTTGCGGTCTTGACCCTGCACAGGAATGGTTTTACGGGTTTTCTTCCAAAGACCTTGTACAGTCTGAGGCACCTTGGAGTTTTGACGCTTCATGAAAACTCGATCGGAGGAAGCATTGATGGCCTCAATTTGAGTGTCCCGTGCCTGGATAACTCCAGATTCAGAATATTTGAGATCGCCACCTGCCAAGATTGCTTTGAGGCTTATGCGGACTTAACAAGCCATCAACTTCGACAAGCAGAAGCCAACTGCCCCAAACTCTTCAACACCTGCCCCACCAAAGGCCTGGTTAATGTCACCTTGCACCGGAATCGCTTCTCGTGTGCCATTCCGAACAGTATTAGCAACATGCATGTTTCTGGCTTGGTGATGATGGGGAACATGCTCGGGGATGGAAGCCCTTTGAATGCTCCTTGGATCTCGAAGGAAGAACATCAACCCTTCCTCTACTATTCTCCGAATATCTGGAAGTCCAATGTGTTCATCTTGACTGGTTTGTCCTTGATGATGACCATTCTTCTTGTGTGCCAGCTCATGCTTCGAAGAAGACTTCAAGAGCTGTCCCGACGATTAGACTTGGACGCCAGAGCACGCGTGGTTTCATCAAGCTTGGCACTGTGACCTGGCTTTTGAAGAGTAGCAATTCCTCTGAACTGACAGGCACATGTTTCTTTTTTTTCCGGTTTTGGCTTGCAAGGTGAAATTCTATCACCAGAATACGCTGTTTGTGTGGCAGGGTATGCAGTACCATTTTGCTGCCACACCTAAGGATAAAGGCTGCAGTGTTCGCCTTCCTATTGGCCAGTCCACTTCTGTTGATCTTCTATTTCGGTGGCAAATACTACAACTGCAACCCGCCCTTGTTGCAAATAACAGCTGCAGATTTCTATGCAGAGCCGTTGATGGAGCTTGGTGTCATCATCTGCTGGTGCTCGATGCAGCTGTTTTTTTGTAGCATCTCGGCTGACATTCCGAAGCCTACTTGCCAGAAGCCCAAGCGCGTCTTCAGTTACAAAAGGAAGCTTGCCAGACTTGCAGTGTGGAGCATTTGGATCTGCATCGTAAGCATTTTGTCCCTGCCATCGATTTTCTACACTTTTGCCCAGTCGACGCCGGCAGAGAACGCATGGGAACTCAATGACAACATGTTGAAGTTCTTCCACAAAACTGCTGCAGTGCAAGCTGTCATCATTGATATGGTGCTGGCCGTCCCAATCTCCAGCAAGTTTTCGAAGCTCACTGGAGTCAAAGCAGACCGATTGCTGATGACCTTCCGGTTGTTTTCCGCGTGGCTTTTGGCCCTGCTCGCTACGACCGCTTTGAACGAGAACTGCTTGGGTGGCTGGAAGCTAGCGTGGAGAGTGTGCCGACAAGGATCAGTGGAGCACAACAAATTCAACTGGAGGATCTATGATGAAGAGATCTTGAACACCTCCCGAGACCTTTGCAAACTCAGCGAGACTTGGTGGTTTGATGGCCGATGCAGCCGCGCCATCGTGGGGAGCTTGACCCCATTTCTCTTACAAAAGCTCTTGACGCGGAGTACATTGCAACCCTTGGTCTTGTGGTTCTTGTGGCACTTCTCTCGATTGGAACCTCCTGGAGACCCACGAGAAGGGCAACATCGGAGGCTGTTTGGCGTTTGGCCCAAAACGACCAAATCTCTGCTGCCCTTGCAACAAATGGCATTGCTCACAACACAGATGGACACTTGCTTGCGCATCAGGACATGGGGAATTTACGCTGATGGGGCACGTCGAATTCCGGACTCATGCAGATAGTTGCAGGGTTTGGGCATATGTGAGAGAGGAAGAGTCTATGGTTTCTCTGTGGTACTGTCTGTAGTCTACTCTTCTTTTTTTGGGGGAAAGACCACTGGAGAACAACTCAGTGAAACCAGCAGCTAAAGAGCTCTGAAAACTCGATGTGACGGTAGCATAACTGGTGACGGTGGCTCCTGAGGCTTCAGATGTGGTTTCTTTAATCAAATGTCGTCCACCAAACATGAGGTCGTTCAGAACAACAAGGTTCTAGGTATAGATGTACACTGCATTTCCCAGCACCTGCCGGCCGCCGAATCTTTGTGTCAATGAGAGGGATGTCTGACATCCAGCGTTCAGTGCCCTCACCAAAGGACGTTCCTCTTGATGTTTTAATTCTTCTTGCCCAAATGTCGCAACGGTGCTCGGGCTGAGGAACTCTTGATGTTTTGGTCACCCTATGTTCCTTTACTTTGCCTGGGCATTCTGGCTGCAGCCGTCACGAACCTATTGATGTTTGACCTCGGTACTCGCGTCTACCATGTGGAACTCCCTTCAGACGAGGTCAACGAGGGTGCTGCATTGTCAGCCTCATACTTGCGGCTTGCATTGAGAGCCGGATCGCTGTTCCAGCTTTGGCATGCATTTAGCACCCAGATGTTTGGACGATATTTGTTGCTGGCCGTTCATCTGGCAGTCCTGGGACCCTGGGCGAAGTGCTTTCTGCCCGTGAGCTTTGTGAAGCGACGTCTTTGGACCTTAACTGAAAGCACTGAGGCGCAACTGATTGAACTCACACGGATGGAGAGTATCTTTGTTGCCGCTGCACACTGATGGAAAGCAACAAAAAAAACAGCTTTGCTTAGCCGTGCGTTCGCCGTGCCTTCTTCGAGGGTGAAAGAACACTTGATTGCTTCAACTCCCGGATGTAAGACAGGTGCGAAAGTGATTCGCCAAAAGCGTTCGGATGAAGATGAAGTTCGGTCGACTTCTCACATAGCAGGTTGAGTGATTCGCCAAACGCAACACGTTCAGGTGTTGATTGAAGAGCATGTCGGGAGTGTTTGCAGGTGTTGGATTTTTGACCTGGCCGAGGCCAGGGATTCCAGTGCAATCCATTGGGTGGCTCGGTCTTCCTGCTCCCGGTGCTTTCCCATGAACAGTTCCTGTTCCAAACACCATCATTTCTTATGATTTCAACTGTCCGAAAACCAAACGAAGGCACTTCTTGAGTGCACCGCATGCTTTCACCAACCGCTGAAACAGCTTCGTTTCTTCGGTGTCTACTCCGCCCACCGGTACACTCCGCCGGAATCGGTCGAGGCGAGCGGCCGGGGCCGACTTGCTTCGAAGACTCGGAGAATCAGAGGCAGATCGACTGCGCGTCCTTTCTGGGGATGGCCGAATTGGCCCTGTGTTTCACAGGGCGTTGAAGTGAATGCACTGTGGGGAGAGGGGTTGTCATCCGCAAATCTACGAAGAAACACACCTTAAGCCGCTTCCAGAAAGTTTCGTGTAAAAGAATTGAACTCTAGCTTCCTTGACCCACAACCTTAAGCAGAGTTTCGGTGAGTTTCCAGAAAGGACACGCTTCTTCTGTCCGGCCAGAAGACGCAGACGGGTCGCGTAGGACGGACCGGACGGGTCGACTGAGACCTCCGTGTGGGGCCGAGGGACGCGGGAGGACACCTCGGAATCCCATGCAGTTTATGGATGGTTCTTTTGATGCTCCGTTCGTAGCGAAGCTTGTTACTAGTAAGGCCAGGAGCCCCCCTTGGATGTAGCATCCGATCGCTCCGTTCGTGTCATGCCAGTTGAGCCCCGAAGGTAGCGTGTGATCGGTCCTGGAGTTGAGTCACCACACCTTTGAATCTTTGAGCTTCGCACCATGCATGTCCATATTTCGACTCTCGAAGTGTCCGTCAATCACATGGCTCCAGCTGCGCGTGGGCCGAATCAGCCGACATCCACTGTTCACCCTGCAAAATCGCAGGAATCGCCGTGCTTTTGAGCAATTCAAGCCGATGATCCATTTTGGTTGGCCGCTTCTGAGCCTCTGTGCGGCCCTGCGTCAGGGCTCCGAGCAGATGAAGCTCGAAGCTTGGACAGAGATGATGGAAGACGAGATCTTCACGCCCGAGGAGTACGAGAAGATGATTGCCAACTACACGGCAGAGTGGAAGAAACATGGTAGCTCTCCTGCATGTGAACCATGACGCATTCAAAAGCGTGCGGTAGCTGCGAGGAATGTGACATATCACCCTTTTTTTACGGAACGTGGGAACAAAGGAACGGACTTAGCTTAGATGTACCCTTGACAGGATTTCGAAGCAAGAAGCAACACCTTGACATTCGTGGAATGTCTGGATCATTCATCGACTTAGGCGTGGAGGTCGAAGTCTTTGCGAACATGAACGATCTTCTTTCAAGCGAAGGTCAGAGTTGGGCATTCCCTTGGCCCGGGGATTGGCTGATTGTGGTAGAACCTCGCAGAACCTGAGTGGTGTTCCAGTACATCCCCTTTCTTTCTCTTTAATACGTTTTCATCCTCTTTCTATCATGCATGTCCTGTGCTTGATCTCTGGCTTTGGGTCCTTTGACAAAGCATTTGACCTCACGAAACAGGCTTCTAATCATTCAGACCAGAGGGAGACTTCGAACGCGGCCCGCACCAAGACGTCGCGCTTCGCGCCACGCGCGCCGTTCACGCACATCCCCCCGCTTGCGTGAACGTTCGGGTCGACCTTCGATGGAGGCCAGAACTTGCCGTGGAAGACTCCTCTCGACAAGGCAGTGGACTTGGATGACACCGAGGATCGGCCTCGTTGCAAGAAGAGGACACCAGAGGAGTGTAAGGAGGTGAAATTGGAGGACGTGGTGCCCTACCTCAAAGACCACCCCTATTTGTATCACGGGGGTGACTTTTGGGCTGCAAGACACATCGACACATCGACCACCCATCGACCACCCCGATCCGGTTTCGGGTCACTGTGGGAAACTCCCCCTTTCAATCGGCGCGGAGAGCGGAGAGCGGAGAGCGGAGCGGAGAGCGGTTCTTGTTTCTCCGCTTTTTTTTGTTTTTTTTATTTTTTTCCGGTTTTCACGGATCGGACATGAAAGCTATTTTTCCAGGGGTTCCACCATGTGGTTTTCCCCTTATTTGTGATTTGTTATTATTTATCCCCAAAGGCCCAAAGGATTTGTTGTATAACCAAACTAGACATGAGTCTTGATCCCCAATGTTTTCTGGACAGAGCCCAGCGACCATGCCCTTCAAAAAACCTTTCCACCCAACAAAGATGTCCACAATTAGTATCTATTTGGAGAGCTTTTTTGAATGGAAGAATGGACGTTGTAAGGATATCACCCCGAACTTTGCGAACGGCGTGGATTTCGAGAAAGGTAAAGACCAAATCACAGGTCCTGCCTTCTTTACCACCCACAACATCTACAACGCGCTGCTCTATGGAAGTAAAGGCATGTTGACATGGGGCCAGCCGGTTCTTGATCTCGAACAGCATAAGAATCCTGAGCTTGCAAGTGCTGGGCAGCTTTTTTGTTTTTTTGACTTGGACAGCCAAGTAAAACTTTAAGACTTTAAGACAGATCGAGTGCTTCGGCGGTTGGTTGGTCGGAAGGGCGGGTGGCTTGCATCCTCCACAAAGTCGAAGTCAAAATGAAGCTCAACATGAGCTCAAATCCTCGTTCTTGCAGCTGTTTGAAGCGACATGTTCCGCTGCATAACACATTTGTGCAACATGAGCTCCTGCATCAACATCATCTCGCGTCTCGCAAGAACATGATGCCCGTAGATGTCTTCTTGTGCCATCCACTTGATCTTCTCAATCCACAAAACCTCGGTGCTTCCGCAAACATCCGCTCCCAGGTGTTGTAAGAGAGACACCTGGGCCCCCTTTCTTGGGCGTGTGGGACTTGGTCCATCCTGTACACCTCCTCTACCGGACCGTCCATTCGGTGCGGACCAGTCCGTAAGGGGGGCCTCCAGAGTGCCATGATGTTTCCGACCGCTAGGAAGGGAATCTATTGGACCGACTTCTACCGCTTGGTCATGGAGATTGAAGTGCAGAAGCTCAAAAACTGCCGAGGCCTCGTTGCTAGCATGGCTTTCCTCAAGAAGGCAGCAGAGCAGGGCGCAGAGCATGGCGTGGAAGAGTTCACTGGAGAGGAAAAGCAAGAGCTTGTGGTAGATATGTTTTTCCATGTTGTTCTTTAGAACATGATGTAGATGGCAACATTTGGGTGACATTTTCCAGGAGCCATCCAAGCTTGCAGTTGTAGTTGCATGTTTCAACATCAAAGACTCGCCCCGATTGAAACGATGTCTTTTTTCTGCCCTTGATGAAAACGGCAAGCTGGGACCCGGCGGTGGCGACCACTCGTCCTGAGGTTCATGGAGACCCAGTGCGGAGGCCACAAGTGTTCCTTCGTGGCGGTGAACTGGAACGAGGACGGCCAGCTGGGCTCAGGACTGCTGCCTTATGAGCTCCTGGGTGGAACTGGGAATTGGATGGATCCACCGGTTGGATGGGTTGACCTGAGTGACCTGCGGTGTTCAGAATCGGGCCGTTGGAGCCGTCTGAAGGATCACCTCTCAACCCCAGAGGACAGCAGGATAGCTATGGTCGGTCTGTCCCGTCACATCGTGACAGCATTCACCAGTCCAACGATTGGGACGGATGGAACCGCCAGGTCTGACTGAGCAGCCTCCAACCAAGTCGGACTTTGTTGGGTCCCCAGTAAGTCATACGAAGAGCATCCACTTCAGTGAAGCAAAGGAAGTTCCGGAATTCAGGTATGTACCGACAGTCAGACGATTGTTTAAACAAGATGGAGCGAACGAACCCGAATGCAAACACGTTCAAAAAGCTACATATGTCCAAATGACACTCTTGTAGGACACTCTTGTGGGTCACTCTTGTAGGAAACTCTTGTGGGACACTCTTACGGGACACTCTTGTGGGACACTCTTGTAGGAAACTCTTGTGGGACACTCTTGTAGGAAACTCTTGTGGGACACTCTTGTGGGACACTCCTGTAGGACACTTTTGTGGGATCACTCTTGTGGGACACTCTTAAGGGACACTCTTGTGAGACACTCTTGCGGGACACTGTTGCGGGGCACTCTTGTGGGACACTGTTGTAGGAAGCTCTTGTGGGACACTCTTGTGGGACACTCTTATAGGACACTCTTGTGGGACACTCTTGTGGGACACTCCTGTAGGACACTCTTGTGGGATACTCTTGTGGGACACTTTTGTGGGACACACTCTTGTGGGACACTGTTGCGGGACACTCTTTTGGGACACTCTTAAGGGACACTCTTGTGAGACACTCTTGCGGGACACTGTTGCGGGACACTCTTGTGGGACACTCCTGTGGGACACT